GTAATAAATTAACGTTTTAATACATTTAACCTCTTTTTAATATGATTCTTCTATACAAACCCACATTCACGAAAAATACTGAACGGATTGATCACATTTGTTTTAATCTCAAAATTTAATTTTAACAAATGTACGTAATATTAATCTTAATTATGTACAGAAAGCATTTTAGTTGCACTGAAACTGTTTTAGTGTAAAATTTACATTTTAATACTCCGAAAGTATTTTTCGTTTTTACCCTACCAAAAGAAAAAAAATTGAACAAACAAATTCTAAGAAATTCGTTTCATAGAAGTATGTGAAAGAAAGAAATAGCACCTGAAGTTTGCGAAATGTTAATATAAATATTAAATTAACTGACAGTTTTGATGTCAATATTTATACATATTAAGTGATTGTATGGTCATTAGGCCTTTGTCTTTTTTGTGGAAAAAAACGGGTAACAGTAAGAATTTGCAACCAGGGTCTTAAATTTTATAGATGTGCAAAAAAGTAAATATTAATCTTGCACAGATTAAGTTTATCATGATAAATAATGTAATTCATTAAAAATTACATATTATGATTACAATCTTACTATGAAAAACTTTTTCTTTTATGACGCTTCCGGTGTAGTGAATTAGTGTTACGATCATGAATTCTCGTCTCGTGTACTCTAGACAATTTTATTCACGGCGGCCGGTCTCAAGTGAGATTAGTGTGCTCAAGCGCAGGTGCATTTTTTTCCGTCACTCTTATGAGATGACATCTGACACGACTGGAGAGAGTTCAGACGCAGATAAAGACAACGGTTTTGCATGCTTTCCGAGGAACGGCAGCGAAATACCGCTAACAGCCTGACTCCGGGCTGTAGGCCGCAGAAAGACCCAATAACTGATTTTGCCCCGACCTGTGATTCGAATCCGGCTATCAACAGTCTCACTTCGATGACTAAACGTGGCAGTCAATATCATAAATTACATAATGGGCAAACTAGGCTCTTAGAGTATACATTCCTTGGGCTATATAATACATTCTATGGTAGTTGTACAAAAATGTCCTATGCGGGTATTTTTATTAAGAATACTAGTAACGTTATAAACTAAAAATATTCCCGTCAGCCATTCCAAGCAAGCATAAAATGCTGTTTCCCGTTTTATCAGTTTATGAATAGATTTGAAGCCACGAGTTTGCCGTCCATTACGACTGTTTCTAGTTAGTTTGTGATATGGCTATTGTTGCTTTTAGCCATCAAGTACGGAGTACAGTTAGTCTGAGAGCTGGCGACGAATTTTGGGAAGGTCCTTTTGGAAAGTTGAAATTGTGAAAAAATATAATTTTCTCTAATTGGCGAATCCAGTCCCGCGTGTGTGGCAGAGCGTTATTTCGTTACTGCTCAGCATATAACATTTACAAAAAAATGTTTTCTTTTACCACTTGATTTCTTTTTTACTTTAATTTAGTTTTTATATAAATCAAAAAAATCCCTGACGTTTTTGTCGGTTATAAAGTATTACCAGACCTCTAAAAACACTTTTAAATTCCCAAAAAATATACTTTGGCAGTCTCAAATTTTAATCACGATTTTATTCATTTTTAATAATACCTGCAAATCGCCAGACAAATTTAGCGGTTTTATACAATTCCCTGACGTGAATAAAGTTTATAAATGAATACGACAAAAAAGTGTTATGCGTAGCCATAAGTGCGAGCTTATGGAACATGCTAGGGATGGGCAAAGGGAAAAAATATATCGAATCTTGTTTTTAAACAGTATCGATATATATCGCGTGATAAATATCGATATATCGTCATCATTTGAATGATGTAAAGTAAAGGTCCAAAATTCTCTACTGACGGTTGGACGACGAAAAAAACGATACAACATTTTAAAATATATCGAAATTGATACGAATTCGATTCTCTTAAATAAATATCGATATGTCGATATATCGCGATTTAAAATATCGACGATATATATCGACAGATTTTTAAAAAATATCGATATTTTTTACCCATACCTAGAACATGCCGGCAGCGGATGGGGACCTAAGCTCCTCGCGCTGATTGGTTTATTAAGAAATATCTTTTTTTAGATTTTAAGATTAAATTCTTGTTTTGGGATTTAGCATGTATATGTATGCGCATATAAAAATAAAATAAAATAAGCCTTTATTGCTGTTGGTTTAAACTCATTGACAAAAAAAAAAATTATTTAAAAGTTGAAAGGCAAGGAAACAAATTAACTTAACTAAATTATGTTCTCGGCATTCGGTTGGTCTCTCCCTCATAACAGCTTGTCTTTCGACAAAGGCCTCCTCTAAGGCTTTCCACTTATTTCTGTCCCTTGCTGTACGTAACCATTCTGGTCCTGCTACTTTCTTAAAATCGTCTTCCCATAGCTTTGGCGGTCTTCCTCTACTCCTTCTGTTTTCTCTAGGGTACCATTCAGTTATTATTCTGGTCCATTTCTCTTTCTTTTCTCTCAACATGTGTCCCGTCCAGCGCCATTTCAATTTTCTGCATACTGATTGGACTTTTTCGAATTTTGTCTTTTCTTTTATCCTTTTTAACTTTATTTTATCTTTTCTCCGTACTCCCAATACGCTTCTCTCTATTCCGTTCTGACATATGTTGATTTTATTTTGTTGTTGTTCAGTTAAGGCCCAAGTTTGGCATGCGTATGTCAGACATGGCAGGATACAAGAATTGAAAACTTCTTTTTTCCGACATTGGCATCTCTTTATTCTTCATTATTTCTCTTAACGACCAGAATTTTTTCCAAGTGTTAGCTATTCTTCTTTCAATTTCTTTCTGCATGTTCTCTGTTGGTGATATTAATTGTCCTAAATAAATATACTCATTTACGTATTCTAATTGTTGATTATTAATTCTGATAATATCTTTTTGTGGAGAATTGGTAATTATTTTCGTTTTTATTATATTTATTGTAAGACCTGCATTTGCACTTTCGTCTGATAATTGTTGTAACATTACTTTCAAGGTATTCGGGCATTCGGAGAAGAGTATTAAATGGTCAGCGAATCTCAAATGACTCAGTTTCTCTCCGTTCACGTTAAGTCCGAAATGACATAATGACTAGAATGGATGAAAAATTAATCTCGATTATAGAAGAAAATAAAAGCTTAAAATTAAAAGTAGAAAATCAGGAAAAAGAGATAGAATATTTAAAAAGAGAAAAAAGAAATAACAATATTATTATATTTGGCTTGGATGAAATAGAAAAATCAACATTGGAATTAATAAATCATGTAAAAAAAAACATTCAAAAGCGACATAAACATTGATATCGAAGAAAATGGAATAAACAATATATACCGAATAGGAAATAAAAATAGAGCAGGTAATAAACCGAGGCCAATCCTCTTAGTCCGAGAGCTCATGACGCATTTTTCATGAAGTGTTTGATGCATCATGAAACTTTGTTTAAAGGTATCAGTCGACTCAATAAGCAGGTATATGACTGTCTGCCTGGCCTACCTGGGTACACCTGGTACTGCGCATACAGTTAAGTCGAAAAAAAATTTGCCCAAAAAAAAGTGTTTGATTCAAATAATAATAATGACTATCCGTTAGTTAAGTTTATAAACAATTAAGAAAAAAAATGGCAGACACTTCTGAAGGGGTTTACATAGGGGCAGACGACCACAAAGTTGTATTTTCAAAAATTCCAAAAAAAGTGTTTGATTCAGTCTGCCATTTTTACAGCGTGTTTATTATGTATAATAAAATATTCTCACAAAAAGGCAGACAGTTTCTCCGGGGGTTACTAATTTAAAAATCTATACAAATAAATAATCACTTTTTAAATGGTCCATATTTCCTATCATAATAATTAATACATCTGTATCACATGATTTGATAAGTACATTGACAGCAGAATCCGATTCCAATTGACAAACATGAAAATAATTATACTTTTTTAAGATTATTTAAATAGCTGCTGATAAAATAAAAAGCTGTTCCCCGCGACTTCGCCCGCATGTAATTTAGGGTTTTATTTTTTTTGCGCGGTACCCTAATAATTTTTTTTAAATTTAAAAGCAGCCTAAAATACTCGTTATAACATCAATTATCTGCCAGTGAAAGTCCCGTCAAAATCGGTCCAGCCATTTCGGAGATTAGTCGGAACAAACAGACAGACAAAAATTTTAAAAATTGTGTTTTTGTTATAAATATCGTATAGGGTCGTTGCACCGGTAAGCCGACCGGGTCTAGATTTCGGCCTTTGGCACCAAGTGATGCAGTAAATTTGATTAAATAACGATTTTAATAAATATTATCGTACGAAATAAAATTCATTGTATTTGTAAATAGTTGCACTATATCTGGCAACATTATTTAATCGTTTAAACACAACATGCGACTTATAACAAATAGTTCAGTTCGACGCCGGCACAGGAGCTGTCAACGCGTGTAAGATCGAGCAAAAAAAATAGTGACGCGCGCTCCACTGAAAAGTAAGTTTGTGCTGTATTTCCTATGATTATTTAATATTGCACTTATATTTCACTATATAAATAACTTAATACTGTATTTTCACATTGATTAGTCAAATATATTATTGAAAAAGTTAAATAATTTGATGGCCGGAAAGTGATACATTAAATTGTCCCATTATTTGGTTGTCGGCCGTGCGGCCGGAAAGTAGCCCAAGTTTAGCTTAAATACTTTGTCTCTTTCATTTATTTGGTTTAATGCTATTGTCTTCTTTCTTATTTATAATGAAGCGTGTCCTTGCGAAGACACTAGCCTTCAGTTTTCGGCCATCAAGTACTGCAATTTGAACGGTTAGTGATGAAACTAAAATACCCATTTCGGTGGTGGCCGAAAACTGGATTGAGTCTATAATTATTATTTAGTTTTCGGCCAACTTAAAATTGTATGAAGGAATAGGGTGGCCGAAAATCGGACGCTGTTTTGGTTTACGGCCATTTCATAAAATATTTTATTCCCGTTTTGTTTTAGTAAGAAAATTTAATAAGACTGTTTTTTTTCAGATGGCTCCTCCGAAGAAAAAAATAAATAATAATAAAAAAAATGCGCCATATACACAAGATACTATTAACAAGGCACTTAGAGATATTCGCGAGAAAAAAAAATCCATTAGAGAGGTCTGCCGAAATTATGGAATCCCTAGGACAACTGTCCAGGATCGAATATCTGGAAGAAGTAGTGATTCGATTAAAACGCGAGGTCCTGATCCTATACTAACCAGTGAAGTCGAAAAAAAAATCGTAGACTGGCTAATTGACATCGCAAAGTGTGGTTTCCCTATAAAAAAATTTGAATTGCTAGACACTGTTCAGAAAATTATAAAAGACTCAGGCATGCAGACACCTTTCAAAAATGACCGTCCTGGACAAACCTGGTTTATAAACTTCATGAAAAGGCATCCAGAAATTTCACAAAGATCCGCTGAAGGAATAAATAAGGCGAGAGCAAGAATAACAGAGGAGTCAATCAGACGCTGGTTTGGAGAGCTTGAATCGTTTCTAGTGGAAACAAATAATCGTGATATATTGGAATCTCCGGAACGTATATTTAATGGAGATGAGAGTGGATTCGCCCTTTGCCCCAAAACAGGAAAGGTTCTTGGTCCTCGAGGGTATCGCAATCTATACCAAATTAAAAGTGGTAGTGAAAAAGATAATTTAACTGTTTTGGTGACATTTAATGCTAAGGCACAAGTATGCCCACCACTAATAGTTTTTCCATATATTCGCCCACCAAAACAAATCGCAGATAGCATGCCACCACATTGGGTCCTTGGAAGGTCTGATAGTGGTTGGATGCGAAGTGATGTATTTTTTGAATATATTACGAATGATTTTAATAACTGGGTGGTGAGTAATGAAATACAAAGACCCATTCTATTACTGGTAGATGGACACAAATCCCATATGTCACTTGAGTTGAGCGGGATGTGTGAGCAAATGGGAATAATTCTTTACGCTCTGCCACCTAACACCACACACATACTCCAACCGGCAGATGTCAGTGTTTTTGGGCCTTTGAAATCGGAATGGAAAAATGTAGTAAGGAAGTTTTTGACGAAACCAGAAAATTTAAACTCTTCTGTTACCAAAACAAACTTTTGCGTTATTTTTAAAGATTGCCTGGAAAGTACAAATATGCCTCGAAATATAATAAATGGCTTCAGAAAATGCGGACTTTATCCATTTGATCCCAATGCAGTGGACTACTCGAAATGTGTACAGAATACCCTGGAAAAACTGAACAGTGATAATTCGAAGACACCACAAAGAAATATTTCCAAAGAGATAACTAACGCAGACCTAGTTTCCGCAAGGAAAGTTTTAAAACATTTAAAATTAACTCTGGCAGAAAAAAACATAAAAGTTGCAATTATATTGAAGGAGATGAGGAAACTGAAAAGAAAGTCTTCTCAGATACAAATCGATGACGTTTTATACGAAACATGCTCTGAAGACCGAACGAACTCAACAGTCAATATTACGACATCTCAAATAATTGAAGAAGAAAATAATAATATGACCAGCCATGTAGATGATTTTAACACGACAAAAATGGATTCTTTTGAAACCATTCCTCACAGCCAGACCAATGAAAACTTACTTCCCCAATTAAGTAATATAAGACCGCTAAATCCATTTAAGTCTCCAGAAAGTCTGTGCAATACAGACCAAGATCAAAGGACTTTAACCCACGATGTTCAGGTAACTAAGGATTCATCTACCGATGCATCAGAATCGTTAATTGATGACAATATATCATCATTGCATTTGTCAGGAAGTTATTTGGAAATTGGTTCTTTAGTATCGTTAGAGGATATACTTGTAATTCCAACTCAAATAAGCCAACCAACGACATCAATATTGAAAATTCCTGAAATGATAATAGATTCCAGTAATACAACAACCACTCAAAGCAGTACAATAATTACAATGATACCACCACCGGAAACACACATCATAACAAACAAGACCTCTAAAACTTTAGAAAATGTGCTGGTTAATATTCCGATAAAAGAGACTCTACAAACTAGTGAAACATCGACTTCAACACTATTACATACAGAATATAGAAATGCAATAGAAAAACACTTAGTTAAACCGGAACCCGTAAAAAAATCTATTTACCGTATACGTACACCTTCATCTGCGGCAATTTCTTCTGCAGAGTGGCGAAAATTTTATGAAGATAAAGAGAAAGTTAAAATAGAGAAGTTAGAATTAAGTAAAAAAAGGCAAGACATTTTGAAAAAGAAAAGAATAGAAAAGGAAAAGTTAAAGAGTGCTAAAGTACAAACACGAAAAATTGCAAAATCAAAGAATTCTATAAAGAAAAAGGAAAGAGCAAGAGTAGATTGCGCCTTGTGTCATGATATTTTAATAAGTGATACAGAAGAAGATTCGGAAAAAAATATTGGATGTGACTTTTGCACCACATGGTATCATTTGAGATGTACAGATTTTGTTGGACTAAAATATGAGGAAGTACAAAACAAACCCTTTAAATGCAATACTTGCATGTTTAATCGTGATTGAGAAGATTTGATTGCCATATTTAAGATTTTGTTATTAGATTATGATTGACAGAAAAATTATGATTATTATTTTATATACAAAATATAATTTATATATTTTATATTCAAAAAGAATTAGAGAAATCGAAAGCACTGTTATCGAAGACTGAAACTGTTTTGCCTTAACATTACTTTTATATATTTCAAGGCGGTTTACTTTTTGTTATAAGTTATTAGACGACTTCAAAAAAGGAGGAGGTTCTCAATTCGACAGTATGATTTTTGTGTGTTACGCGATATCTTCCTCACCAAACTTAAATGGGTATAAATATAAATCATCCAAATCAGTGCATGTATGTCGGACTTATGCCCAAACATACATAAAAATAAATCAGGTGAATTGAGGAGGTCCTTCTTAGTGAAGTCGGGTAAAAATGAAAGTATATAGTATAGTATATTTTCAAATAAATATTAAATTTTTTAATGATAAGAATAACTGTAAGAAGACTGATTATGATAAACAAAGTTATTGATAAAATGTTACGAAAACTGAGTGTTGTTCAAGTAATATTATTAAAAAAGAGAAGACTTATATTTATGTTAATGTGACTGTGATAGTCTTGGAACTGTTATATATCTAGTTATTGTTAATTTTATTGCAGTATTGTTAATGTTGATAAGAGTTAATTTGTTTTGCTTAAGATGGTACCTGATTGATAATAATTTTATTCGATTGATTGATAATAATTTTATTCATGTTAATCAGGGTTGGCTGATTTAAATCAGACTGATTTAAATCATGATTTAAATCACGATTTAAATCGCTTGATTTTGATTAAAAAAATCATTGATTTAAATCAAAATCTATAAATTAATGTAATAGGCAGAAAATGAAATAAAACTGGCTTAAAGTAAGGTAAAATCTTGTGTTGTTTTATGTTATTCTTATTATCCTACTACAATAGTCTCATTAACTTCGGAAAATCAACAACGACGTAGCGATGAGGCCTGTCAGTCTCATAAACTTAGTAAAATCAATTTTTTTTAGAAATTCACCCTTAATATATGAATTGTAATTAATACAGTATTAATTATTTTACTCTTAATCAGTGTCTGTTTGTAATGTCAAAATTACGGCTTTTTACTAAATGCATATAATAAATAAATAAATAAATAATTTATTGCTTTAAAAGAACTTAAGTTGTTACAATATTGTTGGGTACTCTCTTTTAGGTAAATAGATACCTGTAGTAGAGGGACCCGCTCTTCCGTAGTACAATTATATTACTACTTTAAATTATAATTAAAATAATAAAAAAAAATTCTACACAATTTAAAACATGCAGTAAGGTATAATTAACAATATTTGTGTGATTGTGTGCAAGATTGTGTGCGTGCGTGCGTGCGTGCGTTCGTGCCTCCGCGCGCGTGTTGTGTGTCTATGTATGTATGGATGACTGTGAGAAGTCTGTAATTGTGAAAATTTATAAGGCACTGTTTTCTAGAAGGGATTCAGTTTCTTCATAAGTAAGTTTTCTTAACCAGTCTGCTACGGTTTTTTTACAGTCATGGTAATTCATAGGATAAATATTGATTTTTTGGTTTATTTTATTATATAAGTAAATTGAAAGTCTTGTATACTGTCTTGATGCAAACGTAGTCTTAAATGAATCTTCGTAGGGTACTGTATATTTTCTACGTCTAGTCGTTGATGACGGTTGATATTTTAGGGAACTATGAAGTTTTAAAACGGTTGCTAAAATGTAAAGTTTTCTTACCGAAAGTAAATTACTCAATTCATAGAGTTCAGTTGTAGAGAATCTATAGGGCTTTAAGAACATAACTTTAATTAAGCACCGTTGAGCTCTTTCAAGCTCAAGGAACCTGGTTTTTGCTGCACCACCCTATATAGGAATACAGTAGCCTACCGTTGACTGAACCAGAGCTATGTATATTTTATTAAGTAAGGACTTCGTGGAGACATGTCGTAGTGACTTAAATATCCAAATAAGTTTCCTGAGCCGAGTTGCCATTAATTCTAGGTGTGAATACCAAGACAGTCTTTGGTCAACCATTACTCCTAGATACTTTATATTTGAGACTTTATTTATTTGTGAGCAGTTACAACTAGAGCTTTGGACGACAGAGCATTCGTGAATTTTAATTTGAAAATCAGGTGTAGGTAGAGTGCTGTTGTACATGGTAAAGCAAATATATTTAGTTTTGGATATATTCAAAGTGAGTAGATTCTGATTGAGCCAATTCACCATCCTAGCAAGATCTAATTCTGCTGTTTTCCTTACAGAGTCCCATGTATCTCCTGTAAATACAATAGTTGTGTCATCTGCATAGGAAAAAATCTGCCCATTATAAAGTTTCATATTACACAGTTCATTAATGTATATCAAAAACAGAGTTGGGCCCATCACACTTCCTTGGGGGACTCCATAGTTGACAGTTACAGTTTTACTTACAGTAGTTCCAATTTTTACCGACTGTTTTCTGTTTCTAAGGTAGCTACCAAAGAGAGAGAGAGTTTTATCCCTTAAACCAATGTTTTCTAGTCTTTTTAGCATTATGGGTACGGAAACTGTATCAAAAGCTTTCTTTATATCCAAAAATACTGTTATACATTTTTTATTTTTATCGATTTCCCTTAACAAAAACACAATTTTTAAAATTTTTGTCTGTGTATGTCTGTTTATTCCGGCTAATCTCTGAGGCTGAATCAATTTTGACGGGACTTTCACTGGCAGATAGCTGATGTCATAAGGAGTAACTTAGGCTACTTTTATTTTAGAAAAATAATTAGGGTTCCGCGCAAAAAAACTAAAACCCCAAATAACATGCGGGCGAAGTCGCGAGGAACAGCTAGTGTATTCATAAATTTTTAATCCTACTATGTCAAAAAGTGTTACCAACTCGTGAATTTCCAAATATACAAAAAAATCAAAAAATTCAAAAAAAATCAAAAACATCATGATTTTTTTTTAAAAATCAGCATGATTTGATTAAAATTAAAAAAATCATGATTTTTTCCATCCCTGATGTTAATGCAAATAAAAGATATAGATAGAACACTACATTTTATTATAATTTTACAAAAACATTTGTTTATACTACCTTTTCTATCCTGCCTAATGCAGTGGCCGAAAACTAAAATTTTTGTGGGCCGAAATCTAAAGTTTGGGGCCGAAAACTAGCACTTTACATATTTTTCACGTCTAAAATTATTATAAAAAACAGTTTCCTCTTGTAGCATCAATTAGTTATAAAAATGAAAACTAAATTATGTACGCTATAAATTAAAATTAAGAGCACTAGGCCATCATAATGGCAATTATTTTTTCTAGTACCTTAAAGTTGACAACTCCACTAAAAGGCCGAAAACCAGCGCATCGACCCTATAATGTCTTATGCGTTTAGTAAAAAATTGTTATTTTGAAATTAAAAACAGACATTTAAATTTTATTTATTTGTATAGATTTTTAAATTAGTAACCCCCGGAGAAACTGTCTGCCTTTTTGTGAGAATATTTTATTATACATAATAAACACGCTGTAAAAATGGCAGACTGAATAAAACACTTTTTTTGGAATTTTTGAAAATACAACTTTGTGGTCGTCTGCCCCTATGTAAACCCCTTCAGAAGTGTCTGCCATTTTTTTTCTTAATTGTTTATAAACTTAGCTAACGGATAGTCATTATTATTATTTGAATCAAACACTTTTTTTTTGGGCAAATTTTTTTTCGACTTAACTGTATGCGCAGTACCAGGTGTACCCAGGTAGGCCAGGCAGACAGTCATATACCTGCTTATTGAGTCGACTGATACCTTTAAACAAAGTTTCATGATGCATCAAACACTTCATGAAAAATGCGTCATGAGCTCTCGGACCAACTGTTCTTTCGTAAACGGATGGAAAAAGAGAGAGATAATCAGAAACAAGAAGGATCTTAAGAAGATATATGTCACGGAAGACTGTCCAAGGGAAGTTCTAGCTAAAAGGAAAGCTTTACAGGCGGAGCTGGTAGAAGAAAGGAAAAAGGGAAAAATAGCATGTTTGAAATATGACAAGCTTGTAGTGAAGGGAAATGAAACAAAAAGAAAACGGCAAACAACTTCTTCACCGCAATTCTTCGGACATGCAACCTAAAAAACAGCAAACCTCCATAGCCTTTAAGGCTAATAGAACTAACGCGTTCGATGTGATGAGAAACAGATCCAACTCTCTTACTAGCGTCCCTACAAACAAACAACAATAGCAACAGACTCTCGGCAATCGGAACATACAACAACACTAAGAAACAAAAATATCTACAACAATAAAGCAACACCCTCCCCCAAGCCGACTGGTCATCGTGGGGGGGAAATGACCAACACTCTCTAAGGTTTGATAAACAAAAAAGAAGAAATAATTGTGACATACGCATAGCGTCGCTTAACACACGATCACTAAGAACCCCAGAGAAACTAATTGAATTAAAAACAGCAATCAACGAAATTAAATGGGATATTATTGGAATAAGCGAAATGAGAAGATTAGGAGAAGGAATAGAAGACAACGGAAAGTATATACTACATTACAAAGGAGAAACACCAGGGCAGTATGGTGTCGGTTTTTTGATAAAACGGACATATACTGACCGAATAGAAGAATTGAAAGGAATATCTGAAAGAATAGCAATTCTCAACATTAAACCTCCCATACAAAATAGAAAAGATGAATATTGCTCAATTATTCAGGCATACTCACCAACTGAAGCAGATAAAAAAGAAGATGTAGATAAAATAGAAAACTTTTATCAAAAATTACAAAAAACTGTTGATACTGCTCACAAAAACATAATATTAATGGGTGATTTTAACGGGCAAATTGGTGTATGCCACGGAGGCAAGGAGCATACTATAGGAAGAAACGGTTATGGCAACAGAAGTAAAAATGGAGAAAAATTGGTGAACTTCTGTTTAGAAAACAAACTAAGCATCTTGAACAGTTTCCACAAAAAGGAAAAGAATAA